CCTAAGTATAGATTAAACCTTAAAGCTGCTCATGTCATTCYGCAACAGACTGAAAGGCAAAGAAGACAATACTGTGTTTAAATGTGTCAGAATCCATTAAAGGAGACGTATCATGATTTTAAATCCTTGTTTTACACATTTAAATCATTCAGTTTGATATTTATAAAGWCYAACTGCAATGCTTTGGTCTGAATTCCTCATTATTGTAACTCCACAAGCCCCTCGTTCACCCTTTTTTCTGAGGTGTGTCTCAGATCAACTCGTTTTGAGGCTGCCTCTTTAAATCCAAATGAGCCACTTCACAACCCGCCTCCCTCCAGCTTCCATGGCGGTCCATTCTAGTTTGATAYAGGGGTTMWRGACTATAGCAGCGCAGAAACATTTTAWTTACAAATTAATTAAAAGATGTCAACTGAAGACTTGTCCATCCAGCCTCACATGTTGGAGCCAGAGGAGAATGAAAATGATAAAGTTGGAGTTAATAAGTCCAGACCTTATTTGGCAGGTCACATCATATAAAAGAGAGAAAACTGAACGGGTTGTAAAATGTGACCCAAACAGAACATAAGGATATCTTTGCAGCAACAGGWGAGACTAAATGAAACTTTTTTGCCCTCCTATAGAGACTCTGAGTACACAACTAAAAGGTGGATGTTGCATAAGAATTCATAGTTCAAAGTCAAATTTTGTGAAGAATTACTATCTTTATCTTTTTGATACTGTACATTATTTAAAGATGCACTTCTTAAAAATAACTTATACACCTTTGAGATGTGTATTTGGTCATTTACTCTCTTATTCCACACTGCAAAAAATGTCCACCTTACCAAGTTTTAAAATCTTATATCCAGCCAAAAAAAAAAAYTCTTTTTGATCTTGTTTTGAGACTGATTTACTAAACAAGAACTGACTGTGTAAGAATAATAATCTTGTTTTCAGAATGTGTAAGATTATTTGTCTTGTTAACCTGAAAATTTGACTCAAATTAAGTCAAAATTTCTGCCAATGGAGTAAGAAAATTTTACTTGGTAAGATTCTTGAAATACTTGATTTGACTCAATTTTTTCTTATTTCAAGAATCTTACCAAATTTGAGTCAAATTTTCAGGTTAACAAGACAAATAATCTTACACATTCTGAAAACAAGATTATTATTCTTACACAGTCAGTTCTTGTTTAATAAATCAGTTTCTAAACAAGAATCAAAAAGACTTTTAGGCTGATATAAGATTTTAAAACTTGGTAAGATGGACAGTTTTTGCAGTGCAGTGGGTTTGGTTATTTGAGCACCAGGCTCTGAAATGCAATTTCTAGTGTACTTTCTCTGATCTGCAATATTTTTTTCTGATTGTTAAAAAGAAATATTTGACGACCATATTTATTTAAACATGAACATCATGACATATTTTTATTTGATTTGATTCGATTATTTGAAAGCTGGCAGCCATAAACTTCTTAGTCTGATGCAGACTTCATAAAATCAAAACCTGAACTCCTTTTAAACAAAATGAACCAATGTCTGATTGGAAGCCTGACTACTGCTTTAAACAGTAAACAGAACATGGAAACACGTTGATTTTTGATTAATTAGTGGATAATTAATGCTGCAAAGTTTGCTTTAAATGACCAACTGTAGAGATAATTTTCAGCGTGTGATGAAGAGAAAACGGGTTGCTGTCGCCACCTAGTGGTGATACAGACAGACAGCAGTTTGGTTGCTTCATTATGAAAATGTGCAGACAGAAGTGTGTTGTGAGGTCATTACTTAAATCCAGAATCAAATCAGCACAACTGTTTGTGAATAAAAATGACTCTAAAAAGTTATTTCTGCTCTTCTGTAAAGTCAGCATCAGGTTATTTTTACAGAGCTGGACCTGGATTAAAAACCAAACAAAAAAATGGGCAAATGAGATTAATAATAAGCATCTAATGAATGTAATGCAGTGAGGTGAGGTGTGCTGAAGCAAAAATAACACATAAACTTCAAAATCTGTTTGTCTCAATGTTTGTCTTCACAATTTTTGGAGACAGAAAATCTTCTAAAATCTGCCCAGTTTTGTTTTCCTCAGAGAAATGCCAATAAAAATGTTTTATTCCAGCAAACCACATTAACCCGGATTCATTATTCATGCTGGATTCACGTTTGCTGAAATAATATCTGCAAGTCTGGATCCAGGTTTCCAGCTGCTACGTGTTTCCCCAAAGCGTAGCCAGATGGTGTGCTTTGCATTTTCCAYAGATCCTTCAGAGTTTATCATAGATGCTGTCAACAAAAACCTGAAGGTACACAAAACTGTTTTTAATCAGATGTCTTGAGAAACAAACTTGTCAGTGCGTTTATGACACACTGTCCTGTTTTATATGACACAACGTCGTAAACAAAACCTTGTTAAAGAACCTGCAAAAGTTTATTGCAGGTTTTTTTAAATCAGCATGTCATTCATGCAAGCATTTTCACAAGTACATGATTAAATCTATGAAGCGATTTGAGTCACAGCGCCACCCAGTGGTGCAGTGAGTACCTCGCATTGCTGTCTTGAATTAAGGGCCTAGCATTTGTTGATGGAATGCCACCTTTCATGCCAGGGTTTTGAAATTAAAGCATTATGACTCAGTCTGTCACAAATTGTTTTGGATGAGAAATTGTCTCAGAAATTGTGATAAATGATAATATTGAGTAATAATGTAAGCACAACCTTTCAAAGAGCAAAAAGCTTTCATTTCTAAAGAATGAATGCCCACACACGGCTGAAAAAAATGGATTATGAAGTCAAACGTAAACGATAGACCTCAGTCCAATTTATCATGTGATTCATTTTTTATTGCTTATCACGACAGACTTAATTATGACAAAATTAAACTTGTTCTGGTCAAATTTTCAATGACGTTCTGGACAATCTCATGTAAAACTTTGCTATGTGTTAGCACTCCTAGCTTTTACCAGACCAAGATTACCGTAATATCAGTAAAATTGTGTTTAGTTATAYCTACGTGTTGGATCAATTTGAGTTGCGGTGGTAGCCATGGAGAAGACTCCAGGGTTGACAACAAAATTTAATGCCAAAAATATAAAATAAAGTTGCGGGTAGAGTTGTTGTTGCCTCTTAGCAAGAAGATTCAAAAGTGACAAGAGGAWCAAATCCCAGCTGGAGACCTTTCTGAGTAGAGTTTACATGTTCCCTCCATGCGTGAGTGGGCTTTCTCTGGGTACTCTGGTTTCCTGTCAGGCTAATAGGTAACTCAAAATTGTCCTGAGTTGAGCATAAAGTCTTGTTTGTCTTTATGTGATGGACTTGCGGCCCATCCAGTTTGTACCCCGTCCCTCCCGCAGTGACTACTGGATGATGATGGGCACCAGTGACTCTGAAAGGAAGAAGCAGGTAAAAGAGGATACGATGGATGTTACATAGTGTGTAGAGTTCAGACGATGTGCTGTGAATAACGCTGAACTACTGCGACACAACATTTTAGCTGAATATCAGTAATATTGTCAAAATTAAGGATGGCCATTTTTAATTGCGTTGTCTCCAAAATAATCTGTCATCCATGTGATTATTCAACCCATTCTCACTCCCGAGTCGTCACATATTGWCGTTTTTCAAAGGTCCCTTTGCGTCCAATTTTGACGCATCAGGTACCCCCCTTGCGTCATATTTTGACGGGATGGGGCGGAATCTGTTGTCGTAATTTTTCAAAGTGTAGAAAATGCACAAATACTACCGTCCCAAAGCGTGAAATTACGTGTATTCACTTTAGACATCCTGTCCCAGACCCTAGTACCTAAAATTAACCATTAACCCTGATACGTAAAATTAACCATTTTTAGAAAATGTAGGAAATTCATGGCAACTACGTGTTGCAAAGCCTAAAATTACCTAATGTTCACTGTAGACATCCTATCCCTGACCCCAGTCCCTAAACTTAACCATTTATCCTGATCCCTAATGTTAACCTCAGACCCCCGACCCAAAGACCCCTGGTGGCGCAACCCGGAAAAGCCGCGGGCGGCAATGACTGACGCGAGGGGGGTACCTGATGCGTCAAAATTGGACGCAAAGGGACCTTTGAAAAACGTCAATATGTGACGACTCGGGAGTGAGAATGMGTTGGATTATTTTATGTAAGTTTCATTTATGTTTGACCAGCTCCGTGACATATTTTGCTAACAAACCGGATTGACTTTAACAGTAAATGTCAAGGTTTTAAATGATTTACAAACACACAGACACAGGAACCTAAGCACAGACGGGGTATACCTTAGCAGTGGTCCCCAAAGTTGGAGTCGAAACCCACAGTGGGTTCCTGGAACATGAAGGTGGGGTCCTGAAAATATTTCCTGAATTAATTACACTAAAAATTGACAACTTACTTTTTTTGCCTTTGTTGTTACAAAATAATATCTTTAGTGTACTTAAAATGGACAAAAAGGCATAATAATTAATGTCCTGATGCATCTCAGGACAATGCAATGATACCAACACAAAGAGGGTCAAAAACAAGGGGACGTTGAACCCCCACTTGCATTCACTACAGATAACACGACACGGGTCAGGTGATGGGGCACATGACCCTCTATGAACCATAGAGCTAATCAAGCCTATTGTTAGGCGATGGCCCTCTTTTGCATGTGACTAACCTGTTTGTCCACCATGTGGAGGCAGTGCTTATAAGGCTGAGTTCACCTGAAACTCATCAGACTGAAGAAGTTTCTTGGATGAGAGATAAAACATTTCACTAAAGAAGAAACCATCCAGAGGACCTACTTATTTTTTTCTTTTTGATCATAATAATTAATGTTACTAAGCTCGTTTATTTGATGTGAAAACAATGTTCATCAACCTACAACAGCTGGGGGCACATGTCTCTGCTGCTGGTATTTTTTAGGTCAAAAGCTGAAAAGTTTGGGAACCACTGCCTAATAGCACTTGTATGTTGTTCAAATCTGCCTCTATAACGGTTTAAACTGCAACATCCTTCTACAGAAGAGTAAAAACCACTAGATGCTGATTTCAACAGGTTTATTTATAATACTGACAAAAAAAAAGTTAAGTTTGTACAAAGCAAACAAATTACAGGACARGACACGCTGCACAAATCAGAATACACGTTTCAAGAATAGTAGGTTTAAAAAAAAAGCACCATTTTTAACAATACAAAATTCAAAACTTTATTTGAAATATCAAGTACATTTTAAAACAAACAAACAAAAAAAGAAACTTCATGAGTTTATAAACATTGTTTAAAAAGACTTTTCTCATTTCCCTACACTCAAACACATGTACTAAATAAGGCACGTTTGTTAAAAGCGTTCGACGGAAACAAAAACAGGCAAAGAAACGACGAGAAGCTTGATAGTCTGGCAGATGAAGCGACATCTCTTTGGTACAGCTGCATGACTGGTGAGAAACTATCACAGAGAAGAGCATGTTAACTTTGCAACACTATGTACACAATGCAGGTAAAAACTGTTATAAATATGACTAAAAACCACAGACACTATGTACATCTTCATACCGAAGTGAGGCAGGGTTTTTCCTTTTGTATCACACAGTATGGATTTGTGGGATGTTGGGAAGTCGAAGTCACCAAAACGTTTCTTATTTAAAAAAAAAAAAAGTCACTCAGTGAAAACAAGTTAAAATAAAAAAAAAAATGGAATTTTGGGAAACAATTGAGTGTGATCATTCAGAGAGGAAATTGCTGGGATGTCAGTCCACGGTCTGTGGGTGCAGTAGGCACAGTGCGATGTTGTGGTAACGAGGGGGGGGTGGGGGGCTCCCGGTGGCCCCCCCCCTCCTCCTTCCTCCCCGGCTCCGTCTCTCATTCCTTCTTCCTCAGGACGATATAAATGAGCCCACTGATGAGGCTCAGGGGGAACGCCACCCAGGCCAGGACGTACGCGTAGCCGAACTCCGTGTGGTTGTCCGGCCTCATCACGGTGTAGATGATCGCCCCGCACATCACAAACACGCCTAGCGCCAGAGAGAGAGTGAGAGAGAGTGAGAGAGAGAGAGAGAGAGAGATGAGAAAAGAGCGAATGACCTCATAGCTCCGTTCTTTTTTCCTCTCAGGGTGCGACCTCCCACCTCCCCTCAGTTGTGAAGTCATACTCACTCGCCAAGATCTGGAAGATGGCGGTGAAGAAGAAGCGTCCGCCCTTCACCAGTCTGAACAGCTGATACAAGAAGGCGATGAGGGAGCAGAAGCAGAAGAGGACAGACAGGATCATGAGGGCTTGCACTGCCTGGATCCAGTCTAGAAGACAAAAAGAAAAACAGCAACGTTGAAGCGTTCACACTGTTTTTTTTCTTCTTAAATAAAAATATCAGTTTTCTTTTTCTGTACTGAAGACGAACCGTCACTGCTGGCTGGCTTGCAGTGGTAGCCGTCAGAGGCTGTCTTGCAGTTGTACCAGAGATCAGTACTACCTGTATCACCTACAGACCAGGTCTAAAATAAGCAAAAACACAGGCATTAAAATTAACGGCATCTTTTTTAAAATGCAGGAAGAAACAAAAGAATAATCATTGGAAAAACAGCATAACTTCTTCACACTGCATCCTTTTCACCATTCTGGATTTTCCCACCACTTTAAAGGAAATTAAAGTGAAAAAAAAAATACTTACACTGGCTGCTGTAGACACAATAAGGAGAATAAGGATGATTAGGTGCAAYACGAGCACTCCAAGCAGGATGAACAGCATTTTTCAAGCTCTAGAAGGAAGAATAAAGAAAGAAAAAGTATGTTATGAAATCAGTTTCATGATGGACGCGCAGCTCCTTGTTTTAACGCCAGATGGCGCTGTCTCCTCATTTCTGCACCAACCGCAATGTTTACTTGAATGTGAAAGTGTCTCATTACATTGAAAGAAAAAAGAAAGAGGGATCTCAGCTTTCTTTTTATTTCACTTTAAAAACATATATCTTATATATGTGTGTATTATCTGTGTAAATTAAAAAAGGAGCTTTACAGAAAGGCTTTTCAAGGTAATAACAGCCAAATGAAGTTTGAGTCTYGTCGGTGCTGGAAAAGGAGCTCAGCCCATCTGCGAGGAAAAACATTCCAGCAAACGCGCCGTCGTGCGTAAAAAGAAAAAAACTCCGTCACTTTCCTCKAAAAATACAAAACATAAACCGAGCAGGTCAAACTGAAAAACTGTAGCTTCGATTCTTGTTTTTGTTTAGTTTTTTTTCCCCTTCTTTAAAACAAATCCAACGTTTTAAATCCAACAGTCGCGTTTAGTCAATGAAAACAATAATTAACCGACTAAAGAAGAAAAAAAGAAGTCCAACAGTCCAACTTACAAAAGGTAAAAGTTTCTGAGTGGGAAAAAAGTTGGAGAGAAGTGAAGAGTCGTGAAAGAACCACGGGTCTGCTGCTCCTCTGGACTCCTTCTGTGAACTTACTATTCCAGATGTGTGCCTCGGTCCGCGCGCCTGTCTCCCCCCCGCGCCCCCTCCTGCCTGAGAACACCGCCCTGCAGGCCCCGCGCGTCACCAGAGGCC